CGGGCCCTGGTCTCCCGATCGCACCACTAGCTGCAGTGGACCACTTCGAGGTAATTGTTGTTATCCGATCCATATCTAATAAAAGACATTTACACATTCCAATATTAAATTCAAACTTTCACCTAATGCAGGGCGCAGCACAGTGTGTCCTACTAGCGAGAGTCCACCCAACTTTCGCTCCTGAAGTCGCTGAGGGCATGGCTTTCAAGCCCTCGGTTATAGACAAGGTCCACGGCGCAGACCTGCTAGCTAGGTATGCCAAGGTGTCCATCGATACAGTAAAGGACACCTGGTCAGGCTATCCGCTGCCCGTGCCCCCAAATGATGAAATCATGACTTTGGGCGATGCGTGCAAGACGTTCATACAATGGCCCAAAGAAGACATAGTTGTGAAGATGACTCCTCGTCCAAGTCGACCGACGGAGCTTACACCTCCCAAGTCTAAGCTATCAATTGAGGCTCCCCGTGGACCGGCATTGTCAGTACCTCATTCTCCCGGTGGAGCTGATATGGACTTGGCAGATATAGCTCAAAGCTTGGCTCCAATAAAGACCACAAGAAAGGCCGATAGCTCCCCACCACTTGTCAAGGGCCAGAAGCGTCAACGCGGCAAGGGGAAGGTCGGGGAGTTGGCGCCGGAGCCAAAAAGGGGCAAGGCTGCGACGTCGATGCCGGTGAGCAAATCGGGGAAGGTCGTGAGGGCGCCAGCCCAATTTGAGCTAGGCATGCCATTGGTGGAGGACAATGTGTTAGCTGTGATGGGTATTGCTTGCCGAGATCTACATAAGCAATACATGGAGCTAAGCAATGCCAAGCGGAAAATGAGGGAGTCATCCATAGTTGGACATCACGACCACCAGCCGTTCCTATCGTCGCCTGCCTATATAACTATAGGCTTTGATGACCTCTTCGACCTTTTCAGGATCCGGAAGTTGGACACTGGTCTTCTAAAATGCTACTCCTTGTAAGTGCATACCTTCTATACTTGTGATATGACTGGACTATATCTCCTAATTAAATTAGTTCTAATACGTAAATATTTTAAGGTTGTGTTGGATCGAGAGTCGTCGCCATGGTAATCAGGTTAGGTTCCTTGATCCATCCATGGTGAATGAGGTTAATTTACGACAGAGCTTCACTGAGGTGGTTGACTATGTCAACCGGTGTTTATGGGCCCATCAAGACAAGGAGTACATCATGTGCGCACACAACCAAGAGTAAGAGGACAATACCCTTCGTGTATATTGTTTTTGAAGTTAAGGTTCTTAGTACTAACGCTACATAACCACTGCGCAGGCGACATTGGATTCTCCTAGTCATCATACCTAAGTGGAGTAGGGTTACCTACCTTAACTCCAATAAGTCCAAAGATTATGATTTCAGTGAAATCACCAAGGCCTTAAATATGGCTTGGGGCCCATATGTGGAAAAGGGTGGTAGGCACAAGGAGGGCAAGAACGAACTTTATCATGACACCAAGTTTGCATGCGCACAACAGATCGGAGACCAATGTGGTTTCCACGTGTGCCACAACATGTCAACACTTCTAAGAGAGGTGAAAGATTTCGACCCTGAGGTTGTTGCTAATGGCGAATAAGCTCATTTCAATATCTACATTGCTATTCAAAACGTGCTAATTAACCTCTTATTTATTAAACAGAAAGGTAGAGCTGGCTTCAAGATCTCACCCATCAACCCCCCCGCTATCAGAGGCGAAGTGTGCGCCTTTATTCTTGCAGAAATAATGAACAAGAAAGGACGTTTTCATGCCAAATAGACTCATGAACTTGGCTAGATAATTTATTGTGATGTAAAAAAGATGTTTTTATTATTTTTGGCGATGTAAAAAATTATGTTTTTATAGAGTGCAATGTAATTTACTTTCATATGTGCAATATTTATGGTACTTTACTAAATTGTCATCACATTTGTATCAACTACACTTTACGTTGTACTATTCATCTGTTTTCTCCTTTTTTTTCCCTTATTGACAGGTTGTGGAGGTTCACAACGAACAGAATACAAGAATTTTTGGTAATCATTTGAGGACTTTCATGGGGTATGAATTGTGTGCTATAATAAATTAAATTGTTGCATATGTGATGTTGTAAATTGTTGCTTTGTGATGGATCTGTGATATGTGATGCATCTGTGATGTTGGGCAGTTGGGGAATATGTGATATGGAGGGGGGGGTGACTGGCACCTGTGATGTTTCTGTTTTTCAGAGGGCATGGCTAGCAATTCCTGAGGCTAGCCAATATTTAGCATTTATTTTTTTTCTGGAATTAACTCATCAGTGACGGTTCGGAAGAAACATCCGTCACAGGTAACCTCACCTCTGACGGACTCGCAAACGTCGGACCGTCACAGGTGACCCACCTGTGACGGGCCTTTACTTTCGGGCCTGTCACAGGTGGGTCACCCTGTGACGGCTACTATATACCGGAGATCATCACCTCTGACGGGCCTTTATTTAGGGGCTCGTCAGAGATGAGACACCTGTGACGGGTCCTAATAAGCCCTAGTCTAGCTTAGAACAACACCTCTGATGGCCTTCTATTAACTTGCCCGTCAGAGGTGGATGTCACCACTGACGGCCGGCCACCCGTCAAAGGTGACTGGACTTACCAGTGACCACTGATCACTGACCAAGCCCAAAACCGTCAAAGGTGAGGGTTTGGGCCCGTCACAGGTGACTTTGACCAGTGTAGTGATAGTTAAATGTTCTTTTTCTTAAAATGGATTTACTATGACTGCATCTTTGATAATCTTTCTAATGGAACTATGATTAATGAAAAACGAATTAATTCAATTCCTACACTATTTATCACTGCTTGGAGCATAGTATGCATGTTCGTCAAACAATAAAAATATATATTTCAACCTAGTTGTGTACATGTAAACCTCGACATAATAATTACCAAGTTTTTTTCTTCTAATCCGAGATATTAAGTATATATCAATTTTTTTTTTGAATCGTTAAAGTTATCAAATGTTGTTTATAACTTAGCTTACTCACATCCTTGAAGAAGTATATATACATCTTCGCTAAGTGAGGTTGAAAATAAATCCGTTGAATCAATTAGTACAAAAGTGTACCATCATATCGATGACATCAAGACTTCTCTAGTGCTTTGAAAGTATAGAGCAATATGTGTATACATCTGATTGACAGTCAAGAGGGTAGATATCTCTTGAGAATAAATAACTTGTGAATTTTCGGTACTACTCCCACTTGTTAGATTAGTATCGGTAACAATATCCTAAAGAGAGGTAGGTCTCAAATGATATATATGGAAGTATATATCTCTTCAAATAAGAGATAAAACCTATTTTAACATTTATCGAATAAATAATTGTTACTTGCATGTTCTATTATAGAAATTGACGTACCATTTTTATTTACCATCAAACATACAGGACGCACTATAGTCAATGGGTGATGGATATATATATAATCCATGTGTAGTTACAAAAGAGAAAGAAGTAATTAATGAGCTAACTTATACTAATGCATGCATGAAATAGGGAGAAGCCTGTTTTAATTAACAAACGAAGAAGAGCCGCGAACCTGATTAGCTTGCTAATTAATTAAACTGATAAGCTGATGGAGATTAACGTCAACTTCTGATTTAATTTTACAAACTTGATCTGTCCACGTACCCTTCCGTGATCATCTCTTTCTTTAAGAAACCTTCTATGCATGATCACCCTGTCAGTGCGCTCCGATCCATAATCTGCTTTTTTATGGTTGCATGGCCATGTCCTTAGGTTCTGCAGAAGCACCGTTTACATGCATGCACATGCACTTCTGATAGACGCAAATAGCGGCGAAGGTAGATTTGTTGAGGACCTTGTTCTAAGACAAAAGATGAATATATAAAGGAAGGCTCCTTAGTTCTCTCCAATCCTCATGGCCGTGTTTACCTGTCGTACGTTCAAATAGAATTGTAGAAAGATTGATTGAAGGGCTGCTGGCGAGAATCACGTTATAGTTGTGATAAAATCCATGGCGATGATGATTAATTAACTGGAGCGTCTTCCATCGCGGAGGCAAAGATAGATCGATCTGCTCGTGTTCTCCATCAGATCAATCTACTCGATCATGTTCTCCATCTACGTTCCGTCCCCATGACTGGTGAACAGATCAGTTACAACAAACGATGGGATACCATGGCACATAGTAGACGGGCTTTTAAGTGGCCCATAAAATTACACGCTCATTGGCTTCAATGATCAACTGTTGCAACAATACGATCTATTTGATCAATGGCTAGATCTTTCTGGTTAACGTGAGAGCTCGAAAAAAGTGCCCGATTAGTATAGGTATTATACTATGTATACTAGAAGTATAGGAATAGATTTTCTTTCTCTTTTCTTTCCACTTAGCTTAGATGATATATCATGAGAATGAGAAGTTAATGCTTGTGTGTCACTTTACCCTTGGATTATCTTAACCCCTGCTTAGAATATGATTATCACAAGTAATATATAAATTATTAGTCAAGTTCTCTCTACATGATCTTCCCACGGGATAAAATAAATACGATACCCTTGGAATACTCTCGGGTGAAATGATACAATAGTATATCCGTGCGCTTGCGGATGAACTCTGTAACCATAATATACCAAAAGTATTTCTGTGCCATTGCTGGGAATTATATTTCCAGTAATGTCGTTAAGAAATACCAACAGTTGTGATGACCTTCGGCTTGAAGAGTGCTGGAGCTACATATCCAAGAGCCATGAATTATATATTCCACGATCTGATCGGCTCGTTGGTTGAAGTTTATATTGATGATGTCATATTGGGATCGATCGGCTGCCTTGAATAAATAAAATAAAGCTAAATCTACTCGATCGGCTGTGGATGTCAACAGCATATAATCATTATGTCGATGTATATTTAAACTAAGTGATTGGGATAGATCAGTCGCCATATCGAGACAATATGAATCACTTAAGTCGAAATATGCACTAACATGATGAGGTTCAAAGTCTAATTGTTCCAATCAACGATCATGATAGTTAATTTGAATTTAATGGAGTACTATAGTTTGAAATGATACTATACCGTTGCATTCAGTCTTGTAGTAGTTGTTATGTTCTGTATATAACATCATAATATGCAGGTTCACAGATATATGTTCATGACACTTAGATTTGTGATTTTTTTTTTTGTATTTAAGCAGGATAACTTATATTGTGTTGGATTCCAAAATGGTGGATTACAATCAAAGGATGGGAAGGGTATGGTGCTTTTGGGAGGTTTGTCTTGCTCAGCACATGCAAATCCTTTACTCAATGTTATATATCTGATGTTTTTTTAGAACTGTTATATATATGATGTTCGTGCTATTACCTGTTTTTTTTCCAGATCTGGTCCTTTCAAATAAGTTAGTTGTCTATGACCTGGAAAATCAAGTCATTGGCTGGACTGAGTACAACTGTAAGTTTAACACATTCAAATTTGATTGTTATGAGTTCATTCCATAGTACTTTACATGTTTAGTCTATTGTTCTTGCTAATGTCTTGACAATCCGAAAATATATGGCACCAAAGTTGGATTGAGTTTCACTTCATAAGGAAAATGGGACGCTGGAACCATGTTATACTAAGCGTTGTTCAGTAAAAGAGCTTTGCATGTTGCACGCATTGCGTGCTCCAAGTTCTGAACATCTTAGTCATGGGATGGAATATGCAACTTTTAGCTACAAACATATTCTGGGATGGATGAAGTACCTAACTTGTGTGTCATAATTGGCTTGTCCGCTCTTTGCAGGTTCCTCTAGCATTAAAATTAAGGATGAACAGACAGGGGCAACATACACTGTTGACGCTCACAACATCTCCTCAGGATGGAGGTTTCATTGGCAGAAGCATTTGGCTGTGTTGCTGGTAACAATGGTGTACAGCTATCTAATATTCTAACTCCGGTGTATGACACGGACTCTAGTGGAAATTCATTTGATTTAAATTCTTTTCACCAAAGAGGGAAAAAGGGTAGGGGTGTTTAGATGGTGTTCTCTGACCACTCGAGAGAACTGAAAAGGAAACATTGTACGCTACACAATGTACCCGAGTGTGTAGTGTAATGTAATGTAATGATGTGGTGACTGGTGAGAAAATACTATGGCTGAATGTGCTTTTGGGAGGTTCTAGGAATGATATCAGGCCCCCATCTTTTGAATATACTCTGATAATATGCCGTACAGCATATTAAGGAAAAAAATAATTTATATTTTTTTAGATAATGATAATTTATATGTAAAACTTTTATAAACTTGTACATAGCGATTTAAAAGCTAACTAGCAATAATTAAATCTAACTAGCAATAATCACGAGCTATGCTGCGCGCGTGCATAAGAGACTAACTATATTTGATAGCCAGCTAGTATTTTTTGTCACGAATATCTATAATCACACATATTTCGGTACTGAGCAAACCAAATTTTGTTCAAATTGTAATAACATAATGCGCTAAAAGATCAAGTTAATGTACAATGAGGCCTTGTAATAATTAGAAAACATCTATTAGCTAGTAGATCTCTATACGGGCATAACCCCACAGATTGCACTTAATGGGCACGCCAACAACAAACCATCTATTAGATGAACTTTCATACATGCATATCTCCACATATATGGAATCTGATGGCATGTTAACGCTAGTTCTCTAAACACTTGGTAAAACTGTCTGTACATCCGATCCTTAATTTGTTCTGCAATCTTTACTATCCATTATTTGTGCTGCTTTTGGGTACCTAATTACCAACAAAGAATGATGTCAGTCCCAGAACACAAGGAAACTAAATAAAATACATCTATTGGTATCATCTATACGAAGAAGGGGAACCAAGAAGTAAAACTGGATGTAGTAGAAGTGCATAATATAACCAATATAAGGTAGAAAAAAAGAACATTTATGGGTCCTCAGACAACTTTGATGATTATAATAGTTGAGAAAAGTATGCATTTGACTAATCACTAATTATTGAAACATATGACTCTACTATATGCATTCCTAAAGAGGTAAACTATATCCAAATTCCCAAAAATCTTGGTAAACATGAATCAGAGACCATGCCGGATGACAATTTTAGCCCTGTATGTATGCCATTCATAAGGCATAGCTGAGAAAAGTATGACCATCTTCATTGCAACATATTCAGATCATGTCTTGAGAAAATTAAAATAAACTAAGAAAATGAGTTAATATCGATGATCAATAGTCTATTAACTTTATCTTGTTACCTGGTTTATGATTTAGCTCAGAACCCATCACATTATCTCAACAGCAAAATAAGTTGATCAATATACTCCATGTTCATGCTTTTCAACTTTTCGTTAGCGGCATGAAATTTCGATAATAAGTTTAGAACTAATACATCATGTGGAGAAGCATCATTGATGCAAAAGAATACAAATGTGCTTAATTATGGCGAATCATGTGTAGAAGACAAATTTATATTGAATGTTTTTTTTTCAAAAGAAAAGGAATAATATATGTGACCACGTTTAATACTTACTGATAAACTGAGCATACCAATTTATAAGAATAAAAGTACCTGTGGGGTAATGAAGTCATTGATCTAACGGTAAAAATGAATGGCATTGATCTGTTGGGGTGACTTCGATGTCTCTTATCCTGTCATTGAAAGAAAACCATGCTATAGAATCAGTAGCACCATTTTTAAGATTAGGATCATATATAGAAAACAATATGATAGCAGAAGAAAATATGTAAAATTATTTTAGAGCTTGAATTGATTTAGTAAAGAAGTACACCTATATTAGTCCGTTAGTCCGTTAAAGCTCTGACCATATTCAAACTAAATACATCGATTTCTAGCTAGATGCAGCATACCTTGGGATTATGTATTGACTTACAGACACACTGCTGGACTATTGTAGTTATCATAATATGATTCAATGAGCTATGGAGCTTGTTACAGATTTTTCAGCTAAAAAAACCAGCATGGTGATGATAATATATGATTACCCCTTAAGCATAGGCCAATTGTTTGTCTTCATTGCTAGTCGATGAGAGCATGAGTTTCGAAGTAGAAGGGGAAAAGGGAGGAGGGCAGCAAATCAGCTGAACATGATTATAGGAGAAGGTAACAAAGAAGCATGTCATTTCTAATTTGCATTCTAGCGGGAAAGGAAAAAAAGAATATAAATCATATATTTGATCCGGCAAAGACATAAACCACTTGGCTATTCAAATACAGACCACCAGGGCTGTAAGGCAACAATCTCATCTAATCCTGTTCTAGAATATGCAACTGTATTTCAGATTTGTAACCTTGGATGTAAAAAGGGTACTGACCTACACTCTCATTCAAAAAAGGGACCCAGTGATCACCATTGTAGATAAACTGGGCTTGAGCTAACAATAAGTATTTGCCTACTTCGTAGAACAATAATCTGAAGTCTATAACCATCCTTTAGAGTTTAGACATGCAAACAAAAACTGCAGCATAAGAGCAAGAACAATCACCTTTAATGACATAACAGTATATGGGCAAGGAAGACCACATACATATTAATTGTAGCATTCGTCATAAAGCAGTGGTCACACATAACAGCTTAGATATTTAAGTATTGTAGGTAATATGTTTCAAAAGCAATCAATAAGCCAAGGCTAGCTAGAGATAATTTTTAGCTGAAAATAATATCAACATATAAATCTTTGTAGATCCTAAGTGAGCACAAGGTTTACTTTTTTTTTTTTCCCAAATCGATGCATATGGAAAGCTGGGCTTACACTAAATGTTTAGCAATATACAGAGTTATAGAAACAGTTAGGTTGTTAGAGGTAGAGCTAGAGCTAGGTGAATAAAAAATCAGTAATAAAAGCAAAATAATTATCAAGTGATCGATTATGCTTATCTTTTCAAAATGATATACAAATCCTAGACTGAAAGTCTGAAATCTGCATACAAACTGGTATATAGTGTATACAACAAAAGGGGATTTTCGTGCTCACCTTGAGGTCAGGAGTACACAGGTTAGCATTATGATTAAGGGAAAAAATACCATGAAAATGTCAACGATGGTGAAAACACAACCTTAGGAAGTAAAATATACAACAAATTGAGTTTTCTATATCAACATGTACCAAAAATATTGTCATTGTCTTATAAAGGGGAAAAGTAGAGACAACATATCTGAGATGCATATAAATGGCAAATCATCTGAGTGGCAGCGAGAGCAACCTCGAACACGCTTCTTCTCTTTGCACAACACCTGAAAGAAAAGGTTTCATCAGCAAATTGGGGTATATGCTTTCACAGGACCATCGACCATCCTGGCTCCTCTCCTTAGGAGAATAGCAGATCTTGCCTATCTACTGGTACTGATTATAGGGAGGAGACAAACCTGCTATATATGCTACGGCTAGTGCCGGCTGGCTGTACGGTGGTGTGAACTTGCCACTGTTGGTATTTCTTAACGACATTACTAGAAATATAATTCCCAGCAATGGCGCAGAAATACTCCTGGTATATTATGGTTACAGAGTTTATCCGTAAGCGCACGGATATACCATTGTAGCATTTCACTCGAGAGTATTGCAAGAGTATCGTATTTGTTTAATCCCGTAGGAAGATTATAGTAGAGAGAACCGTGCTAATAATTTATATGTTGCTTGTAATAATCATAGTCTAAGTAGGGATTAATATAATCCAAAGGGTAGGATGACACACAAGCATAGAACTACTCATTCTCATATTAAACTATCTAAGCTAAGTGGAAAGAAAATAGAAAAGAATCTATTCCTATACTTCTAGTATACATATTATACATTCATCCTAGTTATATAATTAACTAGCTAATACCCTCTTTCTGATGCCCTCATGGTACTTCAAGAAGCCACCCCTGACTGTCGAGTTCCTTACGACAGCCCGTCATGACCATACAACCGGGGCTAAATACGGAGGAGTACCCTCCCTAAGAAATTAACTTAGGACTATATATATGCGTGAAGGAATACCCATACTGAGCTGTCACCATCAACGACCCACCTCTCATCCGTAGCATATAACCCCAAATAATGATACCTAGTAATCTAGACACCAGGACTAAACTACCAGATACTACTCTAATATCATCGTCATGACATAGAGTAATTGCAATAGCAAACATTATACCCGTACCTATGCATCTCCCAGATAAGCTAGCAGTATAATCAGTATAATTTAAACATAAAGTAAAGTTGGCATTCATATACTCGGAAAGTATTTCAATACCATAATTGTATAAAGAAGAATATTCTAAATAAAATACAAGTCTTACAAAAGAAGAAAGGAGAGCTGCTAGAGCCATACCCAAACTCTTCCGAAGACTTCTGGACTCCGATTTCTATTATATTCCTACTCCACTAGCTTGATACTACTAAACTAAACTTGAGAGAATATGAGAAAGCTCTTGCTTGAAGTGTGTGGAAAATGGAATGAGAGGAGCTCCTTTTATAGCTGCTAATGACGGTTGTGGCAGTTGGAAATTTCCTAACTGCCCTGCAACTGTCATTGAGGATGCATCCTGGATGTCCACGCAAAACCACAGGATGGAAGGCGCTGATGGGGGTTCGGCCGAACCATGGCCTGGGCCAAACCAGCCCATCCTCGGCTGGCGGTCTCCTCCATTGCTTCTCTCCGTAGACTTGTGAATTTTGGCCCAATTGGTTATGTCATTTTTGAGTTTTTGGCCCATTCATACATAAGTCTGATCCTCGACATTGTCCGATTGATTGATCGTCTGATTTGATGTCGATTCTCCTCCACTCTGTGGTTATTCTCTGCAAAAGGTCAGTAAACCTATTACCAGTGGAATATTATTATTCTAACACAAATATGCATTACAAGCATAACTATTTCTCCTCTAATTTGGTAGTATTGACGGTCGAAACTGATCGCTAACGTCCATCAACAAAAACCCCCCAAGCTTGAACCTTTGCTCGTCCCAAGTAAAGGACGAACGGAAACAAAGACTTGGTTGTTGATCAGGAATTGCTACTATGCTGTATATCTCAAATGTACAGGTGCAAGGTATATGTACTCTCTCTCAAATTAAATAATATTTGGCATGGTGGCTTACCCTTACCCCTAATTCCCACAAGACACTGCCTTTCCTTGCCTTGAGCGGTTGAAAGATAGAACAACAATTAGAGCACTAATCACCCAATTTTTA